AACATACATGGACAAACGTATACCATAGTGTCAACATACAAGGACAACCTATAGCACAGTGTCAACATACAAGGACAACCTATAGCACAGTGTCAATATACAAGGACAAACTATAGCACAGTGTCAACATACCAGGACAACCTATACCACAGTGTCAACATGCAAAGACAAACGATAGCACAATGTCAACACACGAGGACAAACTATAACACAGTGGCAACATACCAGGACAACCTATAGCACAGTGTCAATATACAAGGACAAACTATAGCACAGTGTCAACATACCAGGACAACCTATACCACAGTGTCAACATACAAAGACAAACGATAGCACAATGTCAACACACGAGGACAAACTATAACACAGTGGCAACATACCAGGACAACCTATAGAACAGTGTCAACATACAAGGACAAACTATACCACAGTGTCAACATACAAGGACAAACTATAACACAGTGTCAACATACAAGGACAAACTATACCACAGTGTCAACATACAAGGACAAACTATAACACAGTGTCAACATACAAGGACAACATATAGCACAGTGTCAACATACAAAGACAAACGATAGCACAGTGTCAACACACGAGGACAAACTATAACACAGTGGCAACATACCAGGACAACCTTTAGCACAGTGTCAACATACAAGGACAAACGATAGCACAGTGGCAACATACAAGGACAACCTATACCACAGTGTCAACATACAAGGACAAACTATGCCACAGTGTCAACATACAAGGACAACCGACAGCACAGTGTCAGCATACAAGGACAACCTATACCACAGTGTCAACATACAAGGACAAACTATGCCACAGTGTCAACATACAAGGACAACCGACAGCATAGTGTCAACATACAAGGACAACCTATACCACAGTGTCAACATACGAGGACAAACTATACCACAGTGTCAACATACAAGGACAAACTATACTACAGTGTCAACATACAAGGACAACCGACAGCACAGTGTCAGCATACAAGGACAACCTATACCACAGTGTCAACATACAAGGACAAACTATAGCACAGTGTCAACATACAAGGACAAACTATACCACAGTGGCAACATACAAGGACAAACTATACCACAGTGTCAACATACAAGGACAACCGACAGCACAGTGTCAACATACAAGGACAACCTATACCACAGTGTCAACATACAAGGACAAACTATACCACAGTGTCAACATACAAGGACAAACTATACCACAGTGTCAACATACAAGGACAAACTATACCACAGTGTCAACATACAAGGACAAACTATACCACAGTGTCAACATACAAGGACAAACTATACCACAGTGTCAACATACAAGGACAAACTATACCACAGTGTCAACATACAAGGACAAACTATACCACAGTGTCAACATACAAGGACAAACTATACCACAGTGTTAACATACAAGGACAAAATATACCACAGTGTCAACAAACGAGGAAGCTCTATGACAAACAAGCAGAACACAAGGTCAAACTTTACCATACTATTAACATTCCGTGGCAGCATACACTACTGCGTAAAGGCACTTGATAGATATTCATATTTCTCTGTTCTTAGGCCCCTGTCATTTCAAGAATGGTGCTATCAAAAGAGATATATCAAGGGATTTAGGGTTTGGTATTATCTGGAAGTTCATGGTTTAAAATGTGATGAAACAGAAATTAATATTCAATTACATCCATATATGTTTAGGTTCCAGTATGATATTATAACGCTATGCTTGTGTAAGCTACTATGTCACAGGGTACAGACTCCGAACTCGACCATTGTGATGACTAGTAGACAAGTTCAATAAAAAAAGAAAAGATCACAAGGGGATGTTCTGGCAAATCGGAGTTCGTATTACGGAGGCGTGGATCCTGAAAGTTGAAACACGGGCCATCTCGACAGAAAAGGCTTTTTACTCTTTAGATACTATGGTAGTAGCTCTCTCTAAATATTAAGTATTTGTGTTGCATATCTTCCTATAAATATGAAACTATTTCGTTCACAACTACATGTATCCAGCACGTATCTTGAGGGACAGATTGGTCTCATTCTGTCCTAAATATGTCGTGTCAATTGGGCCATTTCTGTTGAAACATAGTGTCTGTGTTTTTAATATATCCTCTCTGTTGTTGTTCTTTTCCTAATAAACCAAACAAGTCTTTATCCAGTCACGTTTTATCTAGCAGCGAATATAACTTCTTTAATAAGACTTGGTTGCACATTACATAATATATGTAATGTATGGTCACCGAGGAAATCTTGCTCGATGTCAATGAGTAGCTCCGGGTCGATGTCAGAAAGTAACGCCGGGCCGATGTCAATGAGTAACGCCGGGCCGATGTCAATGAGTAACTCCGGGTGGATGTCAATGAGTAGCTCCGGGTCGATGTCAGAAAGTAACTCCGGGCCGATGTCAATGAGTAACTCCGGGTCGATGTCAATGAGTAACTCCGGCTCGATGTCAATGAGTAACTCCGGTTCGATGTCAATGAGTAAATCCGGTTCGATGTCAGTGAGTAACTCCGGCTCGATGTCAATGAGTAACTGATGTCAATGAGTAACTCCGGCTCGATGTCAATAAGTAACTCCGGCTCGATGTAAGAATTTTATAACCGACTTAACAAACAGGAGTTGATATCCTTATGACAATCATTGCACTGTATATATAACTGTATCTTCACATCGACAAGAAGACAAATTGATGAGGCAGTTAACATGCCATGACCTTTTTGAAGTTTGGTATCTATATCGTTACACTCTATATCTGTATTTATATTTAGGTCATAGTGTTTATGCTAGATGTTTTAGTTGACACTTGATGACTTTATGTCACAATAACCCTGTCAAGCTTGGTTGATTCTTCCTATCTAGGTCAAAATGAAATTATCGGTCATCTATTGCTGAAAAGCACACCTACCAAGGTTATTAAAGGGACATCACGTGAAAAGGCGTTTTTTTTTTAATGAATGTATGTATTGTATGCACTTCCACTTATGTTACCTCGCTATCCCCATATGCATAGTCCGTTCCAAATGTCCAGTTTGACCACTTGAATTGTTCGGGAAAGCCCTGCTAAAAATAGCTCCGATAACGTCACCTGACTAGGCAGTGAAACGGTTTCCAAAGGGGCCCCCAGAGAGGGGCCGTCAGGCAACTGTAACTTCTTACCGCACTATGAAACCAAGTTATATGATTTCTAAGTCCGTATTCAAACTTATTGAACAGTAATCATTCATCATTAGAAGTTAATTGCACACTTGCCAATGTTCAGAATTTAAATTTATTTAGCTTTAAACATAAATGTGTTGCCAATAAAATTAAACAAGGGATGGGGCACAAGTTTTTACAATTTACCACAGCCTTCTCCCGTCATACATTTACAATTAAATGTCAACAATGATAATAGGCATAAACATAAAGTAGATATATTTAAATATATATTGAATTTAGTACCGGAATGTGGCCGGTACAGATGTGCGGGGCTAAACACCTTCCCTACACCAAGGGACAAACCTTTCTGATTTTTTTTTTATATATATATATTGCCGGGGCAGAGGAGGCCGGGTATTCATATTAGTACTAATTTAAATCTTGCATGTAAAAACAAAAATAATCGTTTAATTCAGCAATATAATTAAATCATACCATTTTATTGAACCCGGTAATATTATAAATTATGTAAATCCACGGACTTAGATAACACGTATCTCGGTGACCCAGAAAATACGCCGTGGGCCATCACAACAGTTATCCCTTGGAGGGCCTCATGGCAAAATCAAACTAACCAGTCACTTATCCCTTCCTTTCGCATAAACCACTGTATAATTATAGAAACACAAAGTAAACTCTCTCCAATACATGCCCATTAACATATTAAACTAAGTTCATCTGTGTTCAAACTCAGACAAAGATACTAGCGAGCTTAATAGTTTTAGATATTTATTCATAATATAAACAGCGCTAGCATTTCTGTCGATTCCATTTCAGCTTAACCGGCTATCCGGAAGAATACATGCACCGTCCTAACTGCTACGGCAATTATTTTCTCCTTTGAATACTGCCCACCTGCAATAATGATTCCGTTAGCTACTCCTTGCGCTATCTTTTGACCATTTGGCAACTTTTCGTTTCGTAGCTGACATGGTACAACACTTTTCTTTCGCTTACTTCACACGGCCAGTCATTTTGTTTACAAAGAAAGGGTGTGCGATGCGCATGCGCTAGTAGAGGGAAATCCCTGAACAAAACGTTGGTGAGACAGGTAGAAATACCGATGATTTTCTTAGATTTAATCATTTTTATGAATCTATTTCAGCCAAATCCGGTCGTTATTTTCCATAAGGAGTCTCACTTGATATGTTTATGTAGTATTTGAAAAAAAAGACAAAAAATAAAGTTACTTCAACGTGATGCCCCTTTAAGCCCTATGCTATTTATAACAAACAAGTAACCGAGTTACATTATAGTATACCTACTCACTACCTATACGATTACCGACATTATTTCACGTCACGGGAGCTTGAAACTTAAACCATCTAAACTATGACGTAAATGGACAGGTAACCATGGTGATAACCAAGTAATAAAGTTAGTTCATTTATTTTTTATTCGTTTTTAAGAGTGAGGGTTGAGCGTGCTACCAAAGTACAAACATATATAACTAAAACTCTTCTTCGTTTATCAACTTATATTTAAATAAATGTTCAGTATGGTTTTAGTTATACTCATTTCCGTAGGAATTCTTTAAATATGCAAGCACGAATGTTATGCATTTTACTCTTATTGCTTCTTAATGTGCACCATTAAATGAAAATGAACCTGGTGTTATTAATTCTCACGAGGGTCTCAACTATGTAGTTGTATGATAAATGAAACGAGAATAACACGATCCCTGCTGTGAGTGATATTAGTGTCACCAAAAAATCTCCAAGCAATATTAGTACTCCTAGTATTCGTATATATAAGTGCAGCATAGCTTACCTTCGGCTAACACAGCACACGGCGTCTGACCCGTTCCATACGGAGGGGTTGAGCTTTGTGTTCACAACAGGTGAAACCTATGTGTGTATACCTGTGATTAATACCTGTCGAGCTGTGCAAGGAGATGTCCATTTCGTCCTGACATAGACACAACTACATAGACATATAGTGGGTCAGTCCCCAACTGATGGTACGTGCGATACCGTACTGTGTATATGAACTTCAAATAAACTCAATAATAAGCCTTGTCATCTGTGCGTTATATAACATAGATAACGTATGCATAGAAACAAAATACATCACCTTGATGTTCCACCTTTCCCCAAAATGCTCCACCTAAACACGTGCATTAATAACATTCCGTATTAATCAAAATTCACTTTTATAAAGTGTTTAATGAGCTCATGCAGTACGCGCATATTATCTGACTGAGATCGAGATCATTTTGAAAAACCCATGAAACACATACTAGAAAAAAAGTGTTAGTGCATGAAGTACATTCTGAACAAGGCAGTAAAAGTGGCTGAGATATGACATGGTTAGAATACTAGAGCATTTAAATATGCAAGGATGTCAATCTGTTCCCCAAACACTGGCTACGGTATAACACTACGCGATCAGCAATGACTGCATACAAATTACTGTTTCATGATGTGAAGGTATTTTTAACTCCGGGTAAACGTAAAAAATATATTTAGTTTTATCTTTTACGACAACATCATTTATTAAAATTTTACCACTTTGGTAAGGATGTTTGACTCCTTTCTATAACGGAAACAGGATTTTACAATAATGTAAAGTTAAGCTGACTAAACTTTCATCAATACACCACAACATTACCATGCTGATATGTTGACTATCGCTGGTAGTTTTATAAGACTAGTTAGCTTAACTAGGTGTTCGTGTAAACTCTGCGTATTTCATATTTTCAGTTAGACAAAATTTGAATTTTAGCTGTCTAAAGATTCAGATTTTTCCTGTTGAATTGTTTCAAGGTAAAAACAGGTTTACGGATAAAGCACTCATACTGTATCACTGTAAAATTAAAATTATTCGAATGATTCATCATTTTTATTTCTTACAAACATAAGTGCTGTTTGCAAGATTTAACAATAATGTAAAGTTAAGCTCGCTAAACTTTGATCAATACACCACAACATTACCCTGCTGATATGTTGACTATCGCTGTTAGTTATATAAGACTAGTCAGCTTAACTAGGTATTCGTGTAAACTGTGCGTATTGATGCAAATAGACAAAATTTGAATCTTAGATGTTTAAAGATTCAAAGTGTTTCCTGTTGAATTGTTTGAAAGTAAAACATGTTTACGGGATAAAGTACTCATAATGTATCACTGTAAAATTGAAAGTATTCGAATGATTCATCATTTCTATTTCTTACAAACATAAGTGCTATTTGCGGAATAATCTATGCATCTAGGATTTTCCCGAAAAATAAATAAATAAATGTACATCAATATACTTATTCAGCCTAAATTGCTTTTGTTCACAGGCAGGTGTATGGGGTTATATTTTTTAATTACTTAGAAATGCAATGCCATATAAATGTAATCATTTTAACAAACTCGATTTAAAAATAAATAAAAAAAGTTAAAATGCCTAAAAAACCCAAATCCAATATATTAGGAATAACTCATGCTCAAAATCAACTAAAGGGAAAATTAAAACTGTTGGCTTGTGTTGAATTGTAAATTAGAAAGGTTAAGCTAACAAGGTTGAACAAACTAAGCCAGTTGTTACGGGATTTCATCACAAACTCAATTTTCCATAACATTTTAATTCCTTGTGATATTTATTGATTTAAGAGTGTTTGTCCTTAACGCTCTAACAGCTAGCCCCAACTACAAAAACTTGTATTTGAACTTTAGTGTAAGTATGGCTTCGTTGGATTTCCATTAGTAAAATGTGGCCTTTATATACCCCATAATGAGCATATGGAAACCAAACGGATGGTAGCTTCTGTACTTCTTTAGTTTTATACTATATTTTTGTGTTTATGGTTCCTGTACATTGTAGTATGGTCCCTTTCCTGTTCTTTTATATTGGTACCTTTTCTAATCATTGTTGTATGAAACCCTTTTTTGGTCATTGTTGTATGGTACCTTTCCTGTTCATTGTTGTATGGTCCCTTTCCTGTTCATTGTTGTATGAAACCCTTTTTTGGTCATTGTTGTATAGTCCCTTGCTTGTTCCTTGTTGTATGCAACCTTCGTTTGGTCATTGCTGTATGGTCCCTTTCCTGTTTATTGTTGTATTGTCCCTTTACATGGTCCCTTGCTTGTTCCTTGTTGTATGGTCCCTTGCTTGTTCCTTGTTGTATGCAACCTTCGTTTGGTCATTGCTGTATGGTCCCTTTCCTTTTCATTGTTGTATGAGACCGACTTTTGGACATTGTTGTATGGTCACTTGCCTGTTCATTGTTGTATGCAACCTATTTTTGGTCATTGTTGTATGGTCCCTTGCTTGTTCATTGTTGTATGCAACCTACGTTTGGTCATTGCTATATGGTCCCTTTCCTGTTCATTGTTGTATGAAACCTACTTTTGGTCATTGTTGTATGGTCCCTCTCCTGTTCATTGTTGTATGAAACCTACTTTTGGTCATTGTTGTATGGTCCATTGCTTGTTCATTGTTGTATGCAGCCTACTTTTGGTCACTGTTGTATGGTCCGTTTTCTGTTCATTGTTGTATGCAACCTACTTTTGGTAATTGTTGTATGGTCCTTTTCCTGTTCATTGTTGTATGGTCCGTTTCCTGTTCATTGTTGTATGCAACCTACTTTTGGTCATTGTTGTATGGTCCCTTTCCTGTTCATTGTTGTATGAAACCTACTTTTGGTCATTGTTGTATGGTCCCTTTCCTGTTCATTGTTGTATGGTCCCTTTCCTGTTTATTGTTGTATTGTCCCTTTACTGATCATTGTTGTATGGTCCCTTTCCTGTTCATTGTTGTATGGTCCCTGTCCTGTCCATTGTTGTATTGTCCCTTTACTGTTCATTGTTGTATGGTCCTTTTTCTGTTCATTGTTGTATGGTCCCTTTCCTGTTCATTGTTGTATG